GCAAGGCAGGTGGGATTTAAATTGTAGTGAAATTAAAGTGGACAATGAACTGACATTAAAATACAAACTGTCCTGGAATACCCTAGTGGGCCAAGAGTCATCACTTAAAAGTGGGAAGAGTTAGAAGGAGATAGGAGAAGACACACACAGAGAAGAGAATGTTGTCAAGGAACCACAGGATAAGAACAGGAAGGGTCTCCAGAGACTGAAAGGCTGTGGTGGCCAAGCACCTGAAGCCTCTAGAACCGCCCAGCTAGCACTGCCTGACTTACTAAGTTCTCCCTCCAGAAGCATGAAATAATAGGTTCACAAGGCTTTAAGCAGCCAGGTTTGTGCTCAGCAAGTGAAACCAAATACATCCTTGTATGCAGTTATCCAAATTCATTCACCCCTGAAACCCTTCTCATTATTCCAGTCTGATAAAGAAATCTCAGCTGACCATATTAGACATGAAACCTTATTTCTCTGAATTCACAAATGCATCTGGGAAGAGTTAAGGGCAGGGCTACACCCCAGTCCCATCCTATGGAGAAAACTCTATGAAGTCAATTGACCTAATTTTCTTAGCTTCGTCACTGGTACAAAAAATATCTTAAGGCTATCGTGAAAATAGATGATGGAAAGAATATAGACTTCATAAACCACGTCTAGCATATGAAGTACACTGAATATGCATTAGTAATGACTATTAGCTTAATTCTTACTGAAATTTCTGGGTAATATCCATGGTACTACCTTTTATTACCCTACTACACAAGAATGGGCCTATTCATATTAATTTACTCTATATAGAAACTCTGACACATGAAAGACAGTCTACAAATACTAGCCATACTGGAATAAGTGACTACTAATCTCAAATAGTTCACTTAAAAAAAAAAAACAGGATTATTTTAAAAATAAAATACAATAAAAAGTACAATAAAAGCATTCAAACAGCATTACCTTGCATGGAGAAATGAGGTTATTTAATGAAAATCACAGGGCCAGACATGGGACACATCCCTAGGAGTGACTGGCCCAGAGGTCTCTAAAACAACATAGCCAATCGCCATTGCCCTAGATACCCACCACGGGCACATGGAAAGATCCTATTAATAATGATATAACCACACAATTTGGCTGTAAGAAATACAGAAATCAAACTCAAACTGAACACGAAATTCTCTCCTTGCTATCAGTCTGTCAGTGCCAGAAGATGTTCTACAGGCTTCTAGGTAAATAAAAGAACATCAATTTTCTCACCTAGAGCTAGACTCCTCATGCTCCATAACTAAACTGTCAGACAAGGTTCCCTAGCTGGTGCACCTGTGACATGACTCTTCTTGGGTAGTTAATTGCATTCTGATTGGGGCTAAAGTCTGCTACAAGGAGGTAAGTTTATGCCTTGTACTGAAATCGTGGTCAAAACTTAGACCTGGAGAAGTCATAAGTCCAAGTATAGAATCTACTAATAATATTTTGATAAATGGTAATGTTGTCAATTACTTTCTACATACTGGTCTTTATGCCAATAGACCTTGCTTACTCTCTACTTTGGTCAGAGAAGCTTTCTCTAATCCCCTACCCCAATGGGCAGCAGTTAATGCTGAGATGCATAACTGTTCAAAGACATAGAGACTGAGTATTCAACCCTAATTAGGACATCATTTCCACTCCACCCTCACCACCACAACTATGTCTCATGCCCAAGACTACGGAAGCACCACAAATAAAGAGGCAGAAATAATGTGAGAGCAAGGCTGATTGGGGAATGTACTGTAAAATGTTAATTTCCAGGCTTGACCAGGCTATTATGCCCATGAGTTCATGCCAGCTATAGTCATCTGGTCAAGATCTAACCAAATATCTGTATGGATTGGGTGAGTGCTCTCCAGATCACATCACTTACCAAGGAGCTAATCATAGTCGATAGCTGCTGGGACACAATGTGTAAGCACTGCGAGACAGCACATGCTTTCGTGGATGCCCCCACATCCATACACACAGGGACAAAAATGACTGGACTTGGTAGGTTATCAAAACAAATGAGGATTGGAAGTTAGGGAGGGATCATGTTGTAAGGTAGAAAGAGTTAGAGATGAGAAATGAAAGGCAGATATGATTGTGCTTCATTGTGTGGGTGGATATACACACACACACACACACACACATATGTATATATATATATATACACATATTTATAAAATCTCTTGGCCTTAAACTCACACATTTAATACAATAAACAGAAACAATCCCCTGGAGATAAATTTACAAAAGAAAATGTAAAAAATATTTTAGATAAAAGATTCCTTCTAGATCTTTTTGTACGAAAATACTAAACCACTTTGGCTATTATGTATATACTATTATCAAGTTAATAACCACCTAGTTTATAAAAAAACTCAACTTGATCTGAAATGTTCAACTTGTTCCTTGACAAAAAGTAACTAATACACTCCAATGATATATTTGTAAATTAGGGACACATATGTGCATCTGTGTAGGCATAAGTACAGGTGCCCTTGGAGAATGTCGATTCAGATACCCTGGGGCTGGAGTTATAGAAGTGTGTAAACCACCTAACACGGGTTCTAGGAAGGAAACTTGTAACCATTGAGCCATGTCACAAGCCCTGTTTTGAAAGTTTTAAGTTAACATTAACAGAGAAACAACTGTATATATTCAAATGGCAACCTAGCAAACCACCACATCATGAACCAAATGGGGCTGTCTTCCTAAATGAATCACATATATGAATGGTCTGATACCACATTTAATTTGCAACAAAATGCTGAATTTTTTGGACTTTGATAAGGAGAATGATTATTATAAGCATAGCCATTTAAAAGTATTTTCAAGTAAGTTTTTTTAAAAAAGCAATTTGTTCCACCAGCAATAAGGGTTAGAAACTGAAATCCAAGCAAAGATGGTACAAGACGATAGTGTGGAATGACACTCATGGGGTGGCTTCCAAGTGACAGAAGCGATAAGACAGCAACCGGCTCAGCAAAGTGATGGCGAGTCGCATCTCACAAGGCCTACTGCGATTTTAGATACTATGAAATGACTTAACATCAAAAATATACTTGCTTACTGACTTCCAAGGGTCAATTCTATATTCACTGATGTAAGAGACAAGACTGAGAGTTACTGTAAATACCCGCTGAGCTTCAGTATTCAGTACAGTCCCATCACACAACAACTAAGTCTATAGGAGAAAAGTTCAGATCACATAGGAGAGAAACTTTAACATGATGCTAGTTTTGTCAGCTGAAATAAAACTGTAATACAATACTTAACAGTTTTAGAATAACTAATATACGGCAAAATTGCAATGACTTTAAAATAAAACATTCAGGGGCTGGGGAGATGGTTCACTAGGTAAAGAATCTGACATATGTGTGTAAGGATCCATGTCTGATGATCAACCACTACATAAAAACTGAAGGTATATTCTTATGACCCCCAGCGTTGAACTAAGAGACAGAAGGATCCCTGACCTTACTCACCAGCCAGTCGGTAGGACTGAACTGCTGAGCCCCAAGTTCCATAACAGACTCTATCTCAAAAAGTAAGGTAGAGAGCAAATGATTCAGATACCCAGCACTAATCTCTGACCTATACAGCCATGTGTGTGCACTCACATAATAACAGACAGACAGACAGACACACACACACACACACACACAGAGAGAAGAAGGAGGGGGAGGGGGGAGGAGGAGGAGGAAGAGAAGGAGGGAGAGGAGGGAGGAAACAGCAGCAGCAGCAACAGCACTGAGTCTGAGGAAAAAGCAATAGCTGAGATGAAGGAAGCAAAGAGCCTTGTGGTGATAACAGGCTTAGGCAGTCACCGCTGCCAAAGGCTGCTTTATTTAAAGTTCTGAGTTTCTGTCCAAGCCCATGCACCTTCAATGCTGAAAGCCAAAAATTTGTTCCACAAAACACTTCCAAGTTGGTTAACTGCCACCCAGAGGAATGTTAATGAAATCCAAAACACCTCTTCTACCTTCTGTGGTCTACAGCAGCAGTGTGATGGGTGAAACAGGCACAGGGAAGTCTGAAAAGGTGCTGACCAGTGACAGGGTGGACAAGCATGAAGCAGGAATGCAGGTACCTGGAGCTAGTTTAAAGAAGAACAGAGGAAGACCTCCAGTAGGGAGGGCAGGAAGAAAATGGCAGCAGACAGTAAAACCCAGGGTGGAGAGGGACTCTTGGGGCTGAGAAAGATAAGCCCTCAGTCTTCCCAGGAAGACTAAAGATCTAATATGGTGCCTAACTGAAAGAACCCAAGCCCAAGAACTGTGAACAAAGAAAGCAGAAGTAGTAGGGACAAGCGGTATGGTTTGAGAGGGCCTCAGACCAAGAGGCAACTGTAGGTGCATTTAATATTCACGCATGGGTTGTTTGAAGAACTGTTCTAAAAGACAGCAATTGATCAACTATGCTTAGTATCTGGAGCAATCTCTCTCAGAATCTCATGGTAAAGGCAGTCAGGGACACCGAGTCCGCCATTTCTGAAACTCTTCCATGCTTTTGCTTTGTTTTTGATGGGGAAGGACAGTGAGGGACTGAGACTGGATCTCCCTCACATTGGCCTGAGCTTCCTATATGGCACAGACAGATTTTACAATCCAGGCCCTAGTGACTTAGTCTTGGATTGCAGGTGTGAGCCATGAGACTGTTTTATTATTTTTAAGAACTTTTAAAAAGTATACATATATATATATATGTTATATATATAAAAACAAAGTATATACCTGGGAAATGAAATCCATGTGTACTGGTCAAAATGAGAAAAGCAATCTCAAAGATATGAAATTTTGACTCAAGCATACATGTAATTTAAAGACAGGACACATCTTAAAGAAACAATACTCATAAGCATTAGCACTTTTTGTGATTTTCTTCCCAACAAAAACATTTCAACAACCTGGCATCAGGTGTCCAACAGTGTAAAGGCTACACTCATGGGAGTCTACTGTGTCATGAAGCATAGACACGCTCTGAGGGATGCTCACCCCGTGTTGATGGAAATGATCTCTATCAGCGGATTCTTTCTGATCTTCGGCAAATCCAATCTTGCTCCACCCAGCCGCTTCCCGTTGTCTTTCTTCTGGCCCAGGAGCCTCACTGAGTGACCTTTGAATCAAGCACAAGACAGACATCAGCATGCCACACAAATCCACTCTGATTTACTGTTTTCAGTAAATATGGTCATGATGGTATTTGATTTTTTTTTTTCTCCAGGGAGAAAAGCATCCTAGAGAAGATGTGATCATCTGAACACCATTTAAAAAAAAAAAAAAGAATCTGTTTTAAGGACTGACTATACCTTTCAATGCTTTGTTCACAGTAAGTCCACATTTGGGAAAGGCTCAGTGTCCTTAAAAATAACCTCACAGCTGAACACTATCTATACTGACCACTTACCACAATGCAACAGAGAGGGCTTACAAGGGCATTAGGACTACCTGCTGTTTTCTGACAATATTAAGACATAGGGATGGTAACTCACACTCTGTTCAAACAGTCTGAACTGGCATTTTCTACAGTCATCTGCTCCCACTCTCCTCTTTTCCTCTCAGCCTGAAACACACTTTCATGTCGTGTGTGTGTGTGTGTGTGTGTGTGTGTGTGTGTGTGTGTATGAAGTATCTTTGTAAAACCCAGGACTAGGTATTTTCGAATAAAACTTTTCAAGTTTACTTGTACAAGCTGCAGTAGATGACTTCTAAGATCCATGTGTTGTCAGGGTTAAAAACTTTGAAGTATTTGAGACATGAGGAAAACACAGAGCAAAGAACCTGCATATCCCTCTGATTCTAGAGACAACTTTACCATGTAGGGTTTACTCTTTGTGCTCAGACTTGCACTGTTTATGACTACAACATGTAATATATCCCAGAAAAAACATTTGTCTTCACTATATACACAGCAACAATTTTTAAGTAAATTTCTACAGTGATATACGGTTTTTTTGTAATTTTACCATTGACTATTCTACAGCATATAAAAGCTGTCTGCTACAAAGATAAAATTGAATGATTTTAAATAAATATCTACAGTTTACAAACTTGACAATAACCCAGTCTGGGAGCATTTCCATCACTACTGTAAACTCCTTTGAGTTTACCTCAGCTCATCTCTGGCCCTATGCCATAAGCAGCATATATCGTTAGTCCGTTGTCCAGGAGATGGACATTTGCCCCATTTCCAAATAACAACTATTATAAGAACACTTCTAAGACCTGTGCATTTGTATACCCATGTCTGCACTTCTCTTAGAACCTAGCATAGAAATTATTGAATTGTTTCATGAATTCATATTTTAGCGAAGATATAACCATTTTATATTCCCAATTTTATCAGACATGAGATTATTGAATATTTTTCCCATTTTGTATATTATATTTTAACTTGCAAGATGGTATCATTTGGAGGAAAATGTCAGTTTAATAAACTTCAAATTATACACTATTTTCTTCATTGGCTATGCTTTTGGTGTTATTCCTAGGACCCCAGGGGTACAAAGGCATTCTTTCCTTTTCCTGACTATTCTATCATTCTACGTCTTACATTTGGGTCAAGGGTGTACTCTGCTCCTTTTTGGGTAGTCAGGGCCTGTGTTTACCATCCCACATTGTACTCAGTGGTCTCTGTATCATTTCTTTGTCTTATTCATCCACGTGCATATCTCATTACACATACTAACATAAAAAAGTTATGCAAAGCCAAAAGAGCGGTGCTATAATTATCACTTTAAGAGAAAATACATATTTACAGCATAGTTTGTATTTATCTACCAAAATACTACTTCTGACTCTGTCTATTGCTCCGTAGAATTCAGCTTATCACATGGTACCACTTTTCATTATATCCATTTCTTGACCTCTTAGTGTTTTTTTTATAAAGTAGCTCGCTTAGCAACAAAGCAACATTCCTTGTTTATCTGAGAACATTTTTATTTTTACTTCTTTTATAGAGGATAGTTGTGCTGGATATAAAACTGCCGCTGTCTGTGCAATGGATATCAGTTATCCGTGGTGTTTACTGTTCATGATCAGACGTCAGCTATTAATCTCACTGTTCCCTTAAGTTTTCCCAGACGTCATTTTGCTTTCCTCAGTTTGTTGGGGTTGAGGTGTGGATTTTTGTAGTAGCCTAAATGGGACTAACATCCTTTGGATTAATAAAATGATTTTCATCTAGAATTTTTTTCAAAAGTTTTTTGTGTCATTTTTTCTATCTATTCTTCTGCAACTCCCACCATGCATTGGTCAGTATAGGGCAGATATGTGTCCAACAAGTACTTAAAGCTGTGTTAGTCAGAGTTCTACAGACACAAAGAACTTTAAGGAAACAGGATCATTTGATTATAGAGGCTGAACAGTCCCATGGAAGTTAACAGTATAGTTCAGACAACAGCAAAAGGTGTCAGAGTAAAGAAAAGTGATGATATAATTATCAGGCTGAAATCAAAGACCAAGACCCAGGAGGCAGATGATAAGAGTGCCAGAGTTTAAAGTCATTATATTATTTCCTTCATGGCTTATATTTAGGTGTTATTCCTAGGATCCCTTTGTCTTTCTCGGGGGTGCAAAGGCATTCTTTCCTAAAATCTGGACTTGGTCAAGAACTCCAGTTCTTGCCAAAGAACTGGAGATAAATAAATCTCAGATTACTCTCTCTGCCCTTGTGTCTCACTCTTCTTTCAGCATCTTCCTCCTCTCCCTGTCTCTCTGACCCTCTCCCCCTTTTCTCAGCACTCATGGCTCTGCTCCTGTTTGCCTGCCTGTGTACACATCTACTTGTATGCCTCTATCTCTTCCCCAGGTACTCACTCCCCTCCCTCCACCTCAAAAACAAAAACAAAAACATTCGGATCTTAGAAACAGAGAGACATTGCAATTTCTTTATCTTTCTTGTTTAATTCAGGTTCCCAGCTAACTAGAGGATACCCATGATATAGAGTGAATACTAGAACTTAATCCCCCATGTCACATGCCAGTCTTTTCTGGAAGCATCCTCACAAATGAAAATGAACATTATATCCATTTCAATCAAAACCAAAATCAAATGGGCTACCCCATTCAGCAGGAGACATGGGCTCAAAGCATCCCAAGCACAGAGAAGGAACAGTGTTTTACTCCCTGAGTGCCCTTTGTCCAGTCAATAACCATAGATCAATATTCACAATATTTCCCACTTTCCATGAAAAAACCAGACTTGAGCCATTCCAATGAGCATCTCACTCAGATAATGCTCATTTCCTTGCAGACAATACCATTCTTGTTTTGGTTTTTTTGTTTGTTTGTTTTTTGTTTGTTTGGTTTTTTCGAGACAGGGTTTCTGGCTGTCCTGGAACTCACTCTGTAGACCAGGCTGGCTTCGAACTCAGAAATCCACCTCTCTCTGCCTCCCAAGTGCTGGGATTAAAGGCGTGCACCACCACAGCCTGGCAATACCATTCTTTGTTTGCACAACTTTACTCTCTAATATGAATTCAAGTCATTGTCACTTTTTTTTTTCTTGATATTTCTTAACATGACTTCACTTGGTTCTTTGAAATCCTTGTCTTCTACTTCCCGTATTTTTAAGGAAAATCAATATTAACAACTTTGGGGGTGAATTGGGTTATGCCTGATATTTTGGCACCTATAATTATATAATATGAAATGAGAGGCATTTCATACAATTTATTGTAGCAAAACAAAATTTAGATTCCCCACAAATACCACTTTTATGTAATGACTTTCAAACTAAATCTATGAAACCAACCCTCTCTACAATGAATAGCTCTTAATATTGCTGCCACTCTTCCTTTCTTTCTTCTTTCCTTCCTTCCTCCCTCTTTCCCTCCCTCCCTCCCTCCCCCCCTCTTTCTTTCTTCTTCCCCTTCATCCTCCTCCTCCGCTTCTACTTGGGGCTGCTTGTCTTGTTTTTCTTTCAAACACGGCTTTATTGGGGTCAACTTGGTATAGGCGAATTTTCCTGCTGGTCAAAATTGATTATTCATTTGCTCAAAGATCATGAGCAAATCAGAATTCTAGTATCTATTGATGTATCAACTTATGGACCAAGGAGAAAAGAGTAAGGGCCATTTCTATCTGAGCCCTGCACACTACTGTAACCTGGGCTCCCATTGGTCCATTCTGGCCTTCTCTCAATTCATGTGCAAACAAATACTAGTGGATATATGAGACCCTCTCCCATCTCTTCAGTGTGCACGCATACATTCTTGTCAACTCAAAGGATTTGGGGCGGGGGGGGGGGGCCCAGGTTCCCAACACTGCCTCAGAAACTGGAATCTCTTGTGTACGCCAGGGCTAGTGCACTCAATGGTAGACCTAGATTGCATCAAACCAGCTGGTAGCATCAGTGCAACAGAGCCAAACAGATCATCAAAATCTCCACTGTAACTAACAGTTAGCAACTGAGCCATCTCTGTAACCAGAACAGAGACACCAGGTTGCACAGTATGCTTTTTCTATGTAGAACAATCCTGTCCACAACATCAAGAAGGGAAATAGAAGCAGCCCAAGCACAAATACCACATACAACTATTCTTACCCAAACTTCAGTAATTTTCACAATGATAACGTTAAAACGTTATCATTGTTAACTTATGGCTGAAAGTTTTTGGAGAATTTCCACAGCAAGGCAGCCTTGCTGTGGACATTTGTCCAGCTTTATCATTGTTTTGTGGGGATGTTCTGTGGGTCAAAACACATATCATTCCAAAGGCAAAACAAATGTAACTTTTTCAAAGCAACCTCTTAACATAAGCTCAAATGCATACACAATAATACACATATGTTTTATCAGCCTTCATTTCAGAAAGATAGACTGTTTAAACATCTGAAGGGGCAGGTTTCCAAGACCAGAAACAAGGAAACCATTAGTCAGAGCCCTTGATGCACCAAAGACTCAAATAGGAAATGTCCATTCACTCGGATAACGTCTGTTTTAACAGTTAAGAATAGTCAAAGCTTAACAAGCATTTGACTAATTAAATCCTACAGATGTTCAAGATAAGATGAACTTTTCAATCAAGGTCCAACTAATGAAGAGATGAATGAGATTAGCCAGAAAACAACAGTTATTTGAGAAAGTCCAAAAGGTCAAGAATGACTATGCAA